TAATGATAAATATCATAAAGCCTGCCATTTGAAAAAATTTGAAACATATTTGAGTCATATTTTAGCTACTCTCTGGGAGAACAATTCAAACATTGGCAACAATTGGCCGATTGAAGGCGAACTGCCATATATATTTACCCCCTCTCTCCACCCATGGAGAAAGCCGAAGTCAAAGTTTAAGGGCTAATAATGAATATCATAAAGCCAACCATTTGAAAAAATTTGAAACATTAAAATAATAGGAAGTGGGAATTCCTACCAAGCCATCAGTATATTCACACTTATAAAATTTATTTATGCTGGATTCAACAGGATTGGTGGGTTCAAATAAGTGAAAAAGAGTTCCTTAACACTCGCTAAATGAGAGATGCTGACAAGGTTTATTTACTTTGATTGGGTAAATTTAAGTTGAACTGCAAAAATGGCTATTGAAGAATGTCTTAAAATATTAATGGTTTTAACATATTGCCCAATATTTTATATTTCTGCGATTTCAACAAAGGAAAGTGAACAAATTATATTCGTTTTGAAACTAGTCGAAATGATAGATACTTAAATGTTGGGTGTCGGCCTTTTTTAGTATTCAAGGGGGTATTCTGATTTCGAAAAAAAAATTTCGAAATATTTTTTTGCACATTTCTATAGTTTACCTATTCAAAAATATGTCCACGAGAGGATTTTCCAAAATTCAAATTAGTTTCGGGGATATAAGTATTTTGCTGAACAGGCATCCAAATCGGTTGGGCTTCAACAAATCGAACAAAAGACATAATGGGTTCTCCAACTACCTGAATATATATTTCTTAGTAAGCCCTTTTGTTCCGTTTCATCTATATATATATATATATATATTTCACGGCGATCCAGTTTTACGAGTGCATCAGCAGCGAAATTGAGGAAATCGATTGAAGAAGAAGTAATTATAGATAATAATTACGGCTGTTGTGTTTTGGAGTTTTTCACGGTCTTTTCAGCAATTTCTTCGTTTATTTCGTGTACTACATACAACAACGAGATTATATTTTCAAGAATGGCTCAATGCGGACTCGGGTTCATAATTGCATTACAATGCAGTCAAGAACGGCTCAACGCGGAGTCGGGTTCATAATTGCATTACAATGCAGTCGCAATAGTCTACGCTACATTCCATCATGTCCATTCGTTGACAAATCCTTCAAAGTTTATCATCAGAAGTGTTATTGATTCGATTTTTGGGTTCAGAGACTCAAAATATTAATGAGTCTCTAAACTCGCTGATATGGACTTTCGCTCCAAAGTATATCCATTCCGGGTCTGTTCCGGGTCTCAGATCATTGAAATGGCAACATTTATTGCTGTGTGTATTTTAATGGAGGTTTTATACCGATATTGAAGATGATGACGATTATGGGAGTAAAAATTGGTCCAGAAGCGCATGCGTTTGCTATCAGACGAGGCAACGCTCGGATTGACCGCTTCGAGATATGCTATCAGACGAGGCAACGCTCGGATTGACCGCTTCGAGATATGAGCATCCAGCGCATCAAAGGAGGCCAGAACTGCTCGAATAGCAAACAAAGACGCCGAAAATAGTTTTTTCGAAGTCGAGGAAGTTCCGATGTATGCAGCAGGAATAGCAGATTGAATAAATGTAAGTTAAAAATATAATTTTATGACTTAGACTGCAATCCATTTTATTTGAAACTTTAATCGCGTTTTTCTCAAAACTGTTTTTTTTAATCTGATATCCACGATTTCTCAGATTTTGCTTAACCGATTTACTTGAAATTTTAAGAGAGTCTTCTTTAGGGACTTGGCTATGTCCGGAACTACGGCCATCCCAATTTTAATTTTAACTATTTTTAAAAATCGAAGAATGTTCAAAAATTGGTATAAAAATGTTTTTTTCTTTAGACAGTCGCCATTTTGTAATAAAATATATCTAAAACTTTTCCGTAGTTCCGGACATAGCGACATTATTGTTGATTGATAACCTTTTTTATTTTTTGATTTCAGATTACTTGGAGAGCTAAAATCGTGGGTATGGTCATGCACCATATTTTTGGGAAGCCCCACTCCATCAGCTGATAACTAGCGGAATTTTAAATTTTTTAAGTTTTATTTTATTTGTCTGCTTCGAATATGAATATATAGTGTTTTAAAAATTGATAATAAAAACATTGCTTGCTTTTTTAAAGCACTTCAAAAATGACCTAAAATTCATGTCTCTATACCACGATACACCCTTAAAAGCGAAACTTAAACTAATGGCGCATTAACTTTATGATTAATGGCTATACAACCAATATATAAGTTGCATTTATTAGCTTGAAATTAAAAGTAAGGGAATATTAGTTTATAATGACATCTTGTTTACATTTCAGACAGACTTTGCTTTGTTAAACATTATGTCTCATAACTTTCCTCAATATATGTTATCAGGAATTTTCCTCTCTTGAATTTCGTTCATCGCAAAAATTGCATTCTTTTTGTCATTACAACTGAATACTCTGATCATATACAATGCTTTAAATTTTTATACAACACATGCACAACACGATATACATATTTTGTTTAACTCGGGATAAAAAACAATGCATAAGGAAAAGGAATTAAATTGAATTTGTTATTATTTTTACATAGAGCTTCCTTCCATTTTCTCAAAATATAATCGAGATATATGCCCCATACTAATGAATGAGAATGCATTTTATTTGAATAATTGTTATTCACCTAAATTCTTATTTTGTTGTTAATACGAATGTTACAGTCCTCAAGGTTTGCATGCTCTCCTAAATAGGATAGGAGAAGACATTTCACGGCATGGTCATATTAATAGACATTGAATTATGAATGCAAGGGGAGGGAATAAATTGGACATTTTTTCTTTAATGAATCTTTTCCTTTCATATAAATGCCATGGCGAACACATGATTAACAATATATAAATAACTTTTAAAACTCTTCAATAACTACAATAACTGTTACTGGTGCACTGATCTTGTCATGTTCCCTATAGTTTGGCAAGCAAGCATATGTTTTGCTTATTGTATGTGAGATTGTATACTCTATTACAATAATGGATTTAAAAGGTAGTTCGAACTTGACTAAAATAATAAAATAATAATAATGATAAAATAATATGAAAATTATGCAGACAGTTATGGGATTAAGCAAGCTCTTAAGATTTATGAATATAAAAAGATTAAGAATTTTTCAGTTAAGGGTTATATGTGTTTGTAAATAATTTGGAAATTATGTAGTATATCTCTTATAATCTAATCATTTATATAAAATGCCGTTAGTTAAATAAGACTCTTATTATACAATTTTAACAGAAACTATATTCAATCATTCAGTTATATATTTGTTTATATTAACTAACATATTTGTAGGCTTTGACCTATACCTGGTTTCATTCGCAAACCTAAGAAATGGGTGAATTTGATTTACTAATTTTTTTGAGCTGCGTAATGTATAACACCAATCAAAACAGTATAATCATTTCTTGAAAAAATAAAAGACAATTGAATTCATATTTTCTTGATTTTTTTACATTACAATTTTTGCCATTATCACTGACATATTTTGACGTAAAATAATGTTTCATTTTAAGGTGATCCTCCACCACCTTATCCAGGTTTGATTTTCTGTAAAAAATATGCATTTGACGCCATCATCTACTTTCATTCATCTTTATTTTATTAGAGCAATCCCAGGAGAAATCAAACTGTGCAGGTATCAATCAGGACCTAAGCAGTTACCTCACATTTGACAAATTTCTTATATTACAGTTTTGTTTAAGTAAACATCAATGTATTGAGATTTCAATATCCCATTGATTTGTTTACCAAGGTCCTCCACCCTATGGACAGCCAAGTCATGTTGGTAATTTATATATCAGTTATTTAAAGTTGATTTTTTCTTTATAACTACTTAAATTACTTATAAATCTCTAGTGATTACTCAGCCTGCTGTTGGAATTAATTCACAAGAAATATATTGTCCAGCGTGCCGTAAAACGGTCATATCTGAGACCAGTACTAAAACAGGTGCTTGGACTTGGGTTATGTGTCTAATATTGAGTGTTGTAGGGTAACGTAAAGTTATGTAATAATTAATTATTATTAGATGTGACTTAGGTTGCTGCCTTATACCTTTTTGTGTGAAGTCTTGCAAGGATGTTCAACACACTTGTCCAGAGTGCGACAGAATTGTGGCTACCAAAGAGTATAAACCCTTCAGTTAACTTCCAGATTTCCATTTATTTTCGTGTTCCCTTTTATTTCTAAATAAATTATTTCATAATGTCAATTTTTTATCTTTCAGTGGATTTCATTAAGTGTTATAATTTTTACAGATTCAAGTTATTTGAAATGACTGATTGGCCAAAATTTGATACAATTATGAAGTTCAAACCTTAGTAGAGAGAGGCATGGTAGGTTTAGGGAATAATTGGAGTATTTATGTACTTCAAAATGTAAGCATACTCAATCACTTTCCATATACTGTTGAATTACTATCCCATTATGAAAACATTTTGTTTCAATTATTTTGTCATAGAAAATGATTATCACCCAGATACCTTTAATAATTGACGAAATACTTACCACAGGCATGCTCATAATTAACGATATCATCATAATTTAAATTTTCGATATCAAATGGAAACAGCAAAAATTCATTTATTTTAAATATTTTGTGATAATTAATTTGATAATTTTGTATTTACCTTCCGATACATGCTTATATTAAGTCTTGAATGTGATACCCTTTAAGCACTAGAATAAACTGTTAGAGGATGTGACCAACTTGAAACAATGGTCACTACCTTTTCGCACAAAACACCCGAAATGAGTGCATCTTATGGTGTCATTTTTGAGACTAACTCTTTTTACGAATTAGTGAAATAAAATAGTTTTATTGCTCAAGTTCGAAAAAAGATTACTTGAATAATATTCACTGAAGTAAATATTAAGGCGGCTCATGTTGCTTCAAGAAATGATTTATCCCAATGATTTAAAAGTAACCAGAAGCGTGTTTCATTTAAAATTCCTAGCATTGTTGATTGAAATTGAGCACAAAGATATTAACAACAGTCGAAAGATTAACACTTAGTGCGAGTTGGCACTTTAGGCTTTAAAAGAACATTTTATCTCGCACAACGATAACATTTAAACAGACAATGATGATAACAATAATGGAAATAAGCGTCAGTTCGTCATATTTGATTAACATTTACTGCCGTTAATATAAGCAAAAGTGAAAGTAAGATTTAAGTTAGATTTGACTCAAAATTCTTTCATTTAATGATTCGGTATTGTTTTAATTTGTTCGTAAATTTCAGTCTATCTCTAGGTGGGTGATTATAAATCTCAATGCTTGGAAAAGGGAACCTTTCCACAAGATGAAAAACACGTTTGCCTATCAATCAGTAATATCCTGTAGAGTAAAAAAATGCAGACTAATAGATGAATGAAATAGGGTTGATGGAATGCATTTGAAAGTCAATATATCCAGTCTCATTTAGTAATCGTGCCTCAGAATGAGTTTATTCATATGTTAGGGCGTTGTTAAATGTAACGCCAATAGGTATGATAATTCCAATATTGTATTTAATGAAAGGTCATATCAATTGAAGTCTTTTATGAGGGGCTAATTTTGAATTTAAAAAGAGCACAAAAATGTTTGAATACAGTTCACCTCTAAATATTTCTCATCAATCTCAGACAAAGTAAATATTTCTCAACATCTGCAGATATGTGAAACTATTCATGCACACATGGAAAGGAATAATTGTTTTTATATTCTACTAGGCTTTTGGTCACATAGAACGCCTCTAGTTGTTTTAGCTTTCGTATATTAATTGCACGTCAAATTTCCATTTGTAAGATTCAATGAAATTGCGTTTTAGCTGGATGATATTTAAAATACGGGGTGTGCGATAGACATACCTCCAAGTGGTGCATCATGGACAATGTAAACTCGTACGGTAAAAAGTCTATAACTCGGCAGTTAACCCATCTAATACGGTGTCCAGCCTTAAAGACAGAAACCTCGAGATATTGGGAAGCCAGAAGTAAACTAATACACAACTGTTAACTATCATATATATACATAATTAAGGGGTTAATGGTAGGTATTATAATGCCGGCCAATTGAAATAAAAATGAAATATTAGGTAGGTGACAAAAAGGAGAAATGCTTAAAAATTTACAATTGGAACAGGGGTTGCAGATTATCATATGGGAATCAAAAGCACCATTTGACATACTGGACATGAAACTATGTTAATCCTATAATCCTGCCAATGGTGATTTAGACTGCCAGTTGAGGTCAAATGGTAATTAGCAGTAGTATACGTCGATTCTGTTTACCCCCCCCCCCCCAATCATCCCTTAAAAACCGAGAGGACGGTGAAATCATATTCCACTATCTTTAACTGGGAAACTATAAACGTTTCAGCCCAAGGCCAAATTATTTCAACGAAGGTGCACCTTTTGGTTGTAATTCTTTATTACATCTTAGCTTAAAATGAATTTGTAATATTTTTTTAGCCTAAAATTAATATTGGAGAACTGTGACTGGAAATGTCAATTAAGCCCCCTCGGAAATAAATCCTAATACGTGGTTGGTAATTTGTTAAAAAGATGCTGTGACGTGGGTTCTTTTAATGATAGATAGGGATTAAAAAAAGAGGCCAATAAATAATCTTTTATGACTCGAAAGTTTTAACGTTATACTGATATTCTAATCTAAACTTATAAATAGCAAATATTGAGAAATAAAACTTGGAAGTTTTAATTGATAATGTGGATGATGAAATTTGGCGCATAGAGGAATAAGGGCGAATAGTTTGATAAAATTGGCGGCAATACTGAAATAATTCATTATATCGCATACCTTTGTCAAAAATCATAGAAATTGAAAAAAGATCGTTGAGTAACCTGAAAGCAGCTGATTTGATCGACTGTAAGTAAACACATCACTATTCATGCAAACCTGGATATGTGATAATTGCATTAAGCATTAAAGATTTCAGATCTTGACTGTGTAATGGATTGAACTAAATATACAAAAGTAACCGGGTGCACTATTTGCTCCAGTAGTTATCATGGACGATTTCAGTGAATAATTTCCAGCTAATAGTCTTCAATTGACAATAAATTCGGCTTTTGATAGGTAAATGATTTTATTCGAGCGAAAGAAGGCAGATAATAAGGTTAGTTTAGACAGTTTTAAGTAAATATGTTGTCCAATTTATTGCTGTTGTACAATTCATATTAAAAGCGTTAATGAACTAATGCACTATCAAATATACCAAAACGTATTTTTGGTAATGGGAAAAAGATCTTGCTGTTCAAACTCGCGAATTGCTGGAGACTAATTGAAATGGAACTATTGTTATGACAACACTTTGCCATGTCAAGTCATGTTAGAGAAAGCCGGAATGCACATTTATACGTTTGATCAGTCCATATGCAGGTTTACATTTTTATTATTAGCAATTCAATTGTTCTATTTCCATAGATGGGGATTAGTAGTTTTACTTTAAATCTATAAAGTCCATAAAGTAATATTCCTATTGCCAAACGTGACATATGACATACAGTGGGGTAGGTAAGATGTGTACTGTGGAAGGGGTCGAATATGACAAGCAGTTGTGCTGTAATTTGAAGTCAGAAGTCAGCTGCCGGTTAATAGACTTATTTGCCGTATGAGTATACGTTGCCCAGGGTGCTCAACGAGGAGGTAAGTCTATCTCACACCCCATAGCATACTCATAAAAGCCTATAAACAGGCAATCGACTTCTGACTCAAGTTATCATGACCAATCCGTATGCTAGTATCGACTACTTCCACAGTACTCACTCGCCTTATCTTTTTCTCTACTTTGTATCTATCTCTTTTGTATTTATAAACCACTCTTCTACTCCCTTTTTGACTTTTTGTGACTGATGTTCCCCACCCTTATGTGAAACCCAAAGTTAACAAAAGACCTAATTATAGCCATTATAATGCATGCCAATTAATATAAGTAAATATTCTACGAAAACCACCTCATTTTGTTCGATTTCGTGGTATGGATTGAAAAATGCAACAACCGCGATTACATATTAATGAAACAAAATCAAATTTTTTAATAAAACGCGTTTTAAAAAATGGCAGGATAGATAGATTGGTTTAATCAGAATCGGACAAATTTTAGTGAAAAGGTCATATTTTCAAGTTGCATTATTTTACCCAAGGAAGTTGATGTCATCGCATGTTCAATGTGGCAATTTTTCTCCTGAACTTTGATAAAATAATAAATTGTTGGTAAGGCGTTCAAATAATTCCAATTTAGAAATATTAACCATCTATATTTCCACGAGTTCATAATAGACCATTTATATCTTAAATAAGTTTGTTTTCATTTGGTTCGTCAGATATGACTGACACTGATAAGTAAGTTATTATCACGTCACTATCCACCCTGAAATTCTTCAAAGGCCTTTGGGGAATGACAGAAATAGTGCTCCCTTTTACAAACTCCTAAATACCATTTTAAGTGCCAACGTGTAAGTGTGGATTGCAATGGTGTCTTAATTACTTAAATTACCTTCAATGGCTGCCCCTTTCTCTTCATCTCGCGAAGGATGCATTTTGGTTTCTATGACAAAATCTCAACTTTCATTCCCTCCTCCACCTTCAGCACTCTTATCCTGTCTTCTGGATGTTTGCACAAGAATAAATTACTTTCAATGATGAAATGCCAATTATGACGTATAACAATTCAGGGTAAGAGTAGGGAGCTACAAAATGTAAGCACATAGGTAGGTTTTTACGATTAGTAAAACCAAAACCTCAACCAGAAGAACCGTAAACGTCAATCGTGCTTCTCATAAGGCAGAGTCATTACAATAGAGTATAGCTTATTTCTTATTGGTTCATATATAACAATTTCAAATGCTAATTGATATGTTGGTATAAATTTGGCGTAAACTTGAAATAGCATATACATTTTTATTCACTAAAAATACTACTACTTATTTATAATTATATTACCACTACGACAAGAAAATTAATTTGGATGGCGAAAGAACATGGGGTCATTTAGTCATATAAAGTATACATAGTGAGTTATCTATTACATGCCTGATTGGGGCATATATGAAAATTCTAGAATAAACTTGATTCTTTAGCATTATCTCTATCAATTATGGGGTGTGCGATAGACCTACCTCCACGTGGTGCACCCTGGGCAAC